GGGTTGTTTGGACAGGCCTGCCCCTACTGCTAAAAAAAATCCTAGAGGAAACACTGCATGAGTGGTACTTGAATTAAGGTAGTGAAATTAGGAGAATGTTTTCATATATCACTCAAGTATATTGTAAAAGCCCACGCTGACGCTTTCCCTTATGGGTGCAACAGTGTGGTCTAAGGGATATCAATATGCATTCTTGTAAACATCTTGATACAAATTCAGTTGCAAATTAGGAGAAACAAACAGCGAATTCCACAACAATAAAATACCAGCAGTGAAAAATATATTGGACCCATCAGACATTAATGTCAGTCCTGTACCCCCATTATCCATTCTCAAAGATCAGTTACTTTTATTTTAAGTCTATATTTTATATATATTTTTGAGTACATTGCTATAGGAAATGTATGAAGGAACTAAAATCAAGTACAACGGCTCCACCTGCTGCACAACAACTTGCATAACAATAGATGATATTTCTCACATGGTCTTCTTAGCAGTAATAACAGACATTATTACAATGTTACATTGTTATACATCTATCATTGCATGCGTATGGGTGATTTCAGTGTTCAATCAAAGTGAAATCACTAATATCCAAAAATCCAACCCAAAAGCATTATTTGTGCTCCTGTGTATCAAAAACGAGTCAAAGCCTGTTATCTTTACGGTTATCTTTGTCAATTATTACTACTTCGTACTGCACAACATTCTCAAAGGAAATAATTTAAATGATTTATATATTAATTTAGTAATTACATAGCATTACATTTATTTTACATATACATATATCGGTTACTTTTTAGATCAGTGTTTTACGTTTAAAACATTTGATCATCTTAATAACATAAAAATATAAAATAGCATTGTTATACATTAGATCATTCATTTCCAGAGACTGGGTCACGACGCAAACATAGGTTGCAGATTTTATAAACAAATTTGCAGAATCCTCACTAAATGCACTTATTGTGCCTTAACTCTTACTATATGCCCATATTTTGTGTCATAAAGTGAGTGCACATTCTGTTAACTCAATGCCTTTATTTTGTTTAATTTATAAAGTATGTAAAATGTGTATTGTTTCACGGATGAGAGGAATAAAAACATTAAGACGGCCTGTTACAGTAACTCTGCTTAAATGCATTCATTCTTATTTATAAAGTATTTAACATGTTTTCAATAACACATTCATAAAACAAACTTGTGCTCAAACTTATATCTCTTCAAAATGGCTGCTTTACCTGTTCAAGAAAATAAGAGGTGATACAGAAACAGCAGCAGCAAATTTGTGCATAAATGAATGTTTCTGACCATTTTCATTTATGCACAAATTTGCTCTTCTTACTGTGAATTGGGTCACCACGGATTGTCAGGTTAAAAAAGTGGGTGCCCAGAAAACTGGATTAGACTACCCAAAAGTAACTAAACTGTTCAGTTGACCGCTTTAAAATGCTGCTTACATCTTAATAAATGAGTATTTAGGAAAATTACAACTTTGTAAATAGGAATAGTTTCCATAATAAGTGTTTTTACTTTTATCAACTTTTCTTAAGTACATTTTACTGCAAATACTGTATTTTTATTTTATAAAACATCTCAGTAGTTATTACATTACACTGGTTATAGACTACACGGTGCCAACACACAAATGCAAATTAGCTACATAAGGTTATGCTAATTATATTAATGTGAATAAATGAATGATTTCCACTTTCTACATCGCCCTAGACTGTAATTTACCTTTGCTAAAGGAGTTAAAAGACTGTTGCTAAAGGACACAGCCACCTGGAGTGAGGTGGGATAAAATCCATGTTGTGTTGTCGATTTGCAGTCTCTTGAAATTACATTACGCTGGTCAATCATCATCAGTCTTACCCACTTGATATCTGGGTTGGCAGAGGAAATGAATCCAGCGCTATGAAAATTCTTTTTTTGCTTTTGGGCAGGCTGGTCACTGCTGCCTTATGCTGTTAGATTTGAGTACCCCTTGTGCATAATTGAATACACAGGGCATCACCAGCTTGTACCAGCGTACTTTAATATCAAAATGTGTAAAGGTTGGCAGGTCTGTACTGAACAAGAAAATGTACTCTTGTAGATATGTAATAGCTCAACTGTTTCTAAATGACATGAAACATAACTTTGCCATTGTGTCTCTGCAACTCATTGGCTTACACATACACAGACAAGCTCAAATCGGCCAATAACGTCAGTCATAATATATTGGTCGAGCTTTGGGGTAGGATTTGCTCTTGACCACCTACCTTTGATGAAAAACCTGCAGATTGGACGTGGTCTGATCTTCCTGTCCGAGGGATCTTTGACCTCCCCCTCCTCCAGGTCATCGTCCTGCCCACACATACAAAAGGCAAATCATGACACATTAGAGAGTATTTTAGTATCCTACTTATTAATAATGCTCAAAGTAAAGCATTTGGAGAGTATCTTATTTGTATTCCATGTTAAAAATGTTGGGGTAGGCATTTGGCATTATTCATTGTAGTACATTTTTAGAAATTAATCAATGTGACAGCCCTAATTTTAAAATCATCAACAGTATGTGACACTGCGCTGATCAACAGGAAGGTCTGTGTGGGGCATCAGGTTTTACTGTTGAGGAGCTCACATGTAGTGTACAGTAAGGTAACGTTGAGACACCGAGAGAAGAGCCCATTTCTTTGTCAAAGACAGTAAGATGATTTTTGCAATTAACAAAAACAGATTATGAAGACGGCTAGATCTTTGTTGGTACTCAGACAAAAGGTCAATTTGATTGTTGTTGATAGAACTACAATGACTTTAAAAACACATCATGTTAACACCAAAAGGCTATGGCAAAAAAAGTGTTTGTGTGTCTCAAACCAGTATCATGCCTTCATGACTGCTCATAAACAGCCACTGCATCTAGAAATACCACGGCCACTAGCAACTCATGCTGTCTTCAGGCCAAAGCCAAGATCCAAGCCTGATAATCAGACTAATTTGCTATTTGGTTTCATTATTGTGCCTGGTATTACGTTCATCCGTAGGGATAACTTTTTGGACCCCTCAACGTCATTATCAGTTGACACAGAAGCTGCAGTTGCTGCATTAATCTCATTTTTATGGACGTACACATTTTTCCTAGCTCTGGTCATCTTCGTGAGCTGTAAACAGTGGACACAAACCAAAACTGCTGGAAAACAAACAAGAAAGAAGAAACAACAACCATTCTGTCCTTGCTTGTGCCATTTTGACAGTTTGATCTGAGTTTGGTGCGTGGAGCTGGACGGACTCACTGAGAATGACCTGTCAATCATCTCTCATCTCTCTTACTTTTCCATAGGATTCCATACTATTAAGCTTTTTTGGAGCTGGCCATTACACAGAATGCATGTTTAAGACATTTCAGAGTTGGCTTTACTTCACCGACCCGGAAGCTCTGTCCATTATATATACTGTCTGTGGGTGAGGAACAAAACACAGTAGAGTACAATAAAAAAAGAATCTGCATTTGATGGAATTTACTTTAGCCGCCTCCAATCCACTTACATATGGCCAAATCCTGATACACTGATGGGTGTTCAGGATCTCTACTGTCCAGCCATAACTGCAGTCGCAATCCAATGGATTGTATTTTACAGTTTTGTATTGATGAATAACATAAAACCACAAGAAAAAGTGATTCCAGACTAGAGAACAGCCATTCACCTAAATGATTAACATACTAAGTAAGTACCAGCTAAACTGATCACTTACATCAATCTCTCCTTCATCGATCTCTCCGTCATCTTCATCCTTCTTCTTGTCTCTGAAGGAATCCCTGCGCACCCTCTCAGGCCCTTTCGAGTCATCTGTCCTCTTGAACTCACTGTCTTTAGGAGATGGGGGGAGGATGGGTTTTTTCTCCTTCTTCTTACTGCTCTTAACCTCACTCTCCTCCTCTTCTTCTCCCTCTGCTTTGGTATCTTCCTCATCATCCTCTTCCTCGTGTGCAGGGATGGTGGGCTCCTCTGGGACCTCCTCATCATAATCCAGTTCATGCTCGTCCAGCTCCCGGGAAACAGACGCAGAGTCATCATTCATCTCCCTCGCTCTCCTCCTCTCCTCAGCTCTCATCCTTTCATCCTCCTCGGCTTTGCCTTTGTCTTCCTCCTCCTCCTCAGCTGTCTCGGGCTCTGCTGAGGCTTCCTTTCGGTAGTCACCGTATCCTTCCTCCCCATCTTCCCCGTCCTCTTCAGCCATGAAGCTCCTGCCTTGTTCTGGCTCGGAGTCTGGGGACTGTGGGGTGTCAATGACTCTATCCTCTTGCTCCTGTCCTTCCTTGTCCTCCTCCCCATCCAACTGGTCCCCCTGTGGACCATCTTCATCCCCCTCCATCAGCATAATGGTCCCATCTTCGTGTCCCATCCCTTCTGTTTCTTCTACAGGCTCCTCGTCCTCTGGGTCAGAGACAAAGTCAGGGACCACCTCATCCTCTTCTTCCCTCTCCTCTTCTACTTCCGAAGCTCTTCCTCGGCTTTCCACCTCCTCTTCGTCCTCCTCGACCAACGCCTCTCTCTCCTCTTCATGGACTACCTCACTGTCTGAGATGAGCCTGTCCTCTTCTTCATCAGGAGAATCCAGCAGCTCACTGTCAGAAAGGCCCTTCTCCTCCTCTTCAGGGGACTGAGGGGATTGGGTAGGGCTTTCAGGAGTATCCATTGGAGAATATTCTAGTATGAACAGTAAACAGCAGTACTTAAGAGACAGTCAACACGTAATATGCTTAAAGAGCCTGAGCTTTGATAGTAAATACACTTTATCATGAATGAACATGCCATACTCCATTCAGGCAGCTGTCAATTAAACGTATTTACATATTAGCCAGGTTATATAGCAGCTAGAACAGTATTTCAGAACATTAACAAAACAAGTAATGAATGTAGACAACATATTATTATAAAACCTGATTTTTGTTTCCAACTGAAAACAACCTTGATGGAAAAATACTGAGGGAATTAATAGACAAACAACCTCAAACTGCCGATATTCAATACTATTCATACATACTCAGCCTAACCAGTTGAGAAAAATGGAACTGCACTGCCAGACCTTCAAATGGAGTTTGGCATATAAGAGTCTTCATAGTTAAGTACAAAATAAACTTAGTTATCTGTTTAGTAGGTACTCCTAAAAAGTAATGCAGCCCAATACAACAGTCCTGCTATAAACCGGGTTGATTCAACAGTATGATTATTCTGGAGGCTACGGGTTAAGGTTCTGTTGAACTATATTACATTAAAGACAGAGATGTTTCTGTTATCTAGCCTATCTTCACTGATAGTATAATAGTAGTAGTAATAGTAAGACCTGTCAGTGTAACTGTAGTACAAAAACAGCACCACAAACTGCCGCCTCCAAAATCACCATACAGTGAAATCAATTTTTAACAAAAACCGAACACTCGAAGCCTTTGTGGAGGCAGGATTCAAAGCAGGACTGTCTTATTAGGCTGCAGACTGACTTTTAGCTAGGTGTACATAGTAAATAAACTGGCACTGAGTGTACGTTCGACTAAATAACATCCAAATACATAACTGCAAAATCTAATTATTTGTTTTCAGACCTTGCAAAAGAAAAACTGGCTAGCTTGCTAATAAACTGCAATGACTACAACTTTATTTACTTTAACAACACCTTTACTTAATGAAAGTTAGCTTCCGGCGTTGCTAATTCAAGAGCAAATGAAACATTTAGCTATAGCAAGCTAGCTGCAAATGGTATGAGCTAAAAATTGTCTCCTGAGGATTCAATGGCATACGTTACCTATTTGTCTGTACATAATGAGACAAGTTTGTAAATACTACACAAGTTCACCTGCAGCGTATGACTGGTAGCACTTCTAATAGCAGGGTCGCGCTAGTTTGCAACTAGGCCCATAACTTGAAAATGCGAAGAGAGCTTGCTAACCGACGAACGCACTGCCCCCACCGAACAGCAAATCTTCCTTAACGAATATACACAAATGAACCGGTTAGCTTAAAGCCCTAACTGACGGACAGTGCCGCTTTAGCATTGAGCGGACAATGTAGCACCCTCGCCTGTCTTTCAATTAACAATGCAGCCTCCCCTGAAGCTAAGCTAACAGCGCAGCTACACTTTGCTAGCTGCTAACAACCACACATTTCCATTCACCTTGCCGACCCGGAGCTCTTTAAAGACGGCACAGCGGCGTTAAGAACTGCCCTCTCCAGCTGATATTGTTTTATACAGTCTACAATAAATATTATACGGTTTAATTTAACCGCTATGGAGGAGAAAATAGAACACTCGGCACGACACAGCGAGAGCGGCCATTACCTCAACGTCATCAAAATACGACAATCTGGGGGGAAAAAGGCGCCGCTGGGAGCGAATGAGAACAGATCTGAGATCAGTGTGTGGGCCAGATTGTTAACCGCTGTGATTTGGTCAGGAGAGCTAAATCTGACTTGCGTTCAGTGACAGCGGCCCAAAAGAGCATGTCAGGAACAACATAAACATTTGAAATCAATAACGATTTGTGTTAGATGTAATATATTATATTATATTACATTACATTACATTACACTAGCCTATATATATTATATTATATTAAGCTATATTATATTTGACTACATTGGTCTAAATTTCTTCAGCAAATGTCTACTGCTGTTACTTTGTATAATTCAACAGAAAAACACAATGAAGCCATCATAAACAAACTTAAATAGTTTGCTAATAAGTTGCATCAGACAGTTTTTAGCGATTTTTAATCATCTGACATAAAAAGACCCTCAGTTTTTAGATTCAATTCTTGTCTAATATCTGCTATAGATACTTGGTTTGTGACTTGGTCATGGTCACTTGTCACTGCTTCCTGACTTTAGCTTTGGTGGAGTAGCCCTATTAATGTATGACTTATGCGAATCCCCACTCATCCATGTATCATCACAGTGTTATATCACTTAAAACAGTCCTCAACACTAATTAGTGAATGGACTGTTTGCCCAAAATGATTTATTCAGTTTATGATTGCCTTTTGCAGAAACACCTTAAAATGTGATGTGAATGCTGTATTACTTGTCTTTTTTCAAATTCTATTGTCATCTGAACAGGAACTACCAGAAATCTCTAGTATGGAAGTCTTGTAGGAAGTACTGGTATGTCAGCTATTGTTAGATTTATTATTCTTTAGTTGATTAAAATTGTGGAAATTTTAGCCATGTCTTAGTCAAAGAAAGCCAAAAACGTTTTTGGTGCAGTATTAGCTATAATTACAGGTTGTATGATTAAGAACGATGGCTAGGAGAGGGTGTCTGATTGAATATCAAAGAATGTAACTAATTATGTACATTCAGACATAAAACATGTTTTTTTAGATTAAAGATACTATTTATTATTTATTTATCTATTTATTACTGTTACAAAGGATACTAAAAGACAGTATCCACCCCAGCCAAAGCCGTCTGGTATCTGTTGACATACCACCAGACTACAAAGCAGCTTCTTTCTTCAGGCTGTGAGACTGCTTAATTCAGCCAGCACTCCATCATGAATGATAGTTCATTTTATTATATATTTATTCATCCCTTTAAATCATTTTTGTTATTTGTGTAGCATAAATGGACTACAGCTTGCATTACGTTGCACAACCCTGTGTGGCAGAATTATAAATAAATAAACCCTGAACTATTAAGAAAATGAAAAACTATTACTAATCAGAAAGAAATAATCTCATACCTGAACCTCGCCAGGGGGTATAGCTCTTAAGACAATGAAAACTACACAAAATGTGATAAACAAACAAGGGCGACATGGTAGCTCCCCTGGTAGACCTGGTGCCCTATGTACTAAGGCTGAGTCCTCCTTTCAGCAGACCTCTCCTCCGTTTCCTGTCTCACTGGAGCTGTCCTATCTAATAAAGAGGTAAAAGCCCTCCCAAAAATGAAAAAAAAAAAAAAACACTAAAAAATATACTTGTACTGAATTTCAAGTCCAAAAACTGAATAGCCTTACTAAATTAAACAAAGTACCATATTTGATGAAAGGTTGCAATCCTGTTAACTACACAATGTCAAGATCTGAAACATTTAGTAGGATTACTGCATGAGTCCGATGAACTTTTTAGGGACCCTTTTGTTCTGCAAGTCCTGGTGTTGCAATCATTTATTTTTCGATCACCTACTTCTTTTTACTTAGAATTGCATTTGTGTCCACAGGCTGAAGATGTCCGATGCACACAGGAGGAAAAGAAATGTTTGTTAAGTAAGGTTAACTTGACGTTAAAAAATGAAATGCCTTGGCTCACCAGATTGAATGGGCATGACGCCAATGCTTCCAACGCCTCCTGATTGGAGGAGAAATTATTTTCTTCTTTATTGTAAATTGTTGTAATAATAAAAATAATTACTTGGTTGAAAGCCCCAGACTTCTGAAATTAAACCTATGTATTTGGATGTATAACCTTCCTTTGTATCCTTTATTAACTGCAACTTGTTGAAATGAAACTTAAATAAGTTAAATTAAACTGCCTCCTCTTTATTGCTAATTGTACTGTATATACAGCAAGAAATATTCATCTTGGCCTGTTTTCACATAACACAGTAAAAGACAGTTGGCACTGAGGTTACATTATACATTGCTTATTTCCTGTTTATAGCCACTAGATGGCAGCAGTGACCTTACACCAGCTAATGACAGCAGTTCTTAGATAAAGATATATTAGATATATATGATCATTTATAATATAGTAGGATTATTATTCATGACAGTGATTTTTTCATATCCTTTCTCCCCAACCTGGATGGAGAAGTGAATGTGACAGAGGTATAATAAAGTAAATTATATTTGCAAGGGGTTCTTACTGTAAATTCTCCTTACACATGGTGAAAAAACCTTGTTCCTGATCTGTTACTTAACTTGTCTTCACTGAATGCAGGGAGCATCACAAATACTTCCATGAGTGAAATCTCACATTCATTCCTACAGAATATCCTCAGATTTTATCTTGAGGCCACCACAAAGTGAAAATGTGTGTGTGTGTGTGTGCCTTTGGATTTTTGAGTTCACGTTGCATGTTTAAGTGAGACTTGTGGCTGTGTGTCTGTCCCAGTGGGAGATCGTCTCTCCTTAAACACCATGCAGCCCCGCATGTGAGTGGCACAGGAGGCTGCCAGGAGAAGAATCATCTAAGCCTTGGAGCATAACACAATACATGACTTTCCTCTTTCTAAATTTCAAAATAAAACTGTCCATGATCCAAAATGACTCCCAGTGAACATATTTTCATTTTACCTTCATTCTTACTTACTATTTTGCTTTCTCTTTTTTTTTTTTTTTTTTTTTTTTTTGGTCTTGGGCCAATTTATGGTATAATTAGATTTAATGCTTAATTATCACTTAGTGTCAGCTTGAGGAAAAATATCAAACCCTAAAATATTGTAAAAGTAAATGTATAAATAATTTAGGCACTGTTTAAAATGTACATAATTTTGTCTTTTGTCTTTGGGGTTTTCACAAGTGTAACTTCCAGTCCAAAATTCAGCGCATCACCCAGAATTAAGTAATCTGACCAGAAGACATTGACATTGCCCTATTTCCTAAGTAGCCTGTGCTTTTAATTTATAAGGCACAAGTTGCTGCTTCCCTCATATGTCTGTTTTAGTCTGACGGAGCCTAGAGTAAGTGTGGCAGGGCACTGTGGTCTATGTTTATAACAGACTACAAAACTGGTATGGGGAGAACCGGCTTTTTTACTGACAGAACACACAAAACAGAGGAACCAATTTATTAATTTTGTTGATTTTCTTTATCCCTGGATACAGGCTTTGGAAGAGGATTCTGGAGGATGCTGGCAAAGAATGCAAAGCGTAATATAATTTTAATTTCTGTCCTGTAAATGACGTGACAAATAAACTTTTTAAATCAGTATAGCCTTGACTCCACTTTATTGCTGTCATCATTAAGCTGGAAAGCAAAAAAAGCATGCCATACCTGACAGTATTTATTCATTAACTGGTGCTAGCAGAGATAATCGCATGCCCTCATTGCTGTCAAACATCTCAGAAGCGCCCGGAAATTCATCTTCATTTAAATCTAGTTGTTATGGTATCCCTGGGCATTCTACCACTTTTATTCATTTTGAACAAATGTTGCTATTTTGTAAATAAAAATTATTGACTGCTTCCACTGAATTTGTAAGTACCTTCGCTCAGTTGTTCAGGTGCAGGCGTCTTTATCGAGTAATTGAAAAACAAGAGCTTCAACAAGTAACATATGGAACAGATAGAAATGGGTGCAGAATGTGTAGTGTAATCTTCCAAACTCTTTTCAAACGACCATTTCAACCAATGTTAAAAATGCATTGAGGCTCCCGTACTCGGTCCTGGAATCAACAAACCATAAAAAATTTATGAA